TTTTTTTTTTTTTGGTACTGGGGATCGAACTCAGGACCTTGCACTTTCGAGGCAGGCGCCGGAACCACTGAGCTAAATCCCTGGCCCAATAAATAAATTCTTTATTTGTATCTGTGGGTTTTGCAGGTACTTATGAGAATAGGCTCCAATCTTCAGGTTACTACCTTGGCTCTATCACTCACTGTCTATGTCTTTGTGCAGTTACTTAAACTTCTGTGCCTCAGTTTCTGCATCTGTAAAATGGGGATAAAAATAGCCTCTGTTTTGTGCACACCTGTAATCCCAGAATTCTGGGAGGTAGATCCAGAACAATCACAAATTTGAGCCCAGCCTGGGCAACTTAGTGACTTACTGAGACCCTGTCACAAAAAATTTTAAAAAGGCCTGGGGATGTAGCTCATTGCAAAGGCCCTGGGTTCAATCCCCAGTACTGCAATTAATTAATTAAAAAGGGGAGACAGACATGGAGGCACATACCTGTAATCCCAGCACTTGGGAGACTGAGGAAGGAAAATCTTCACAAATCTGAGCCCAGCCTGAGCTACATAGTGAGAGGGGTTTTTTGGTTTTTTTCCAGCCAGACTGTCCTCAAATTCAAGTCCATGAAGGAAAGTACTCAACTGGCCCAGAGTTCTACCCACTCCCTTGCCACTGCGTGCACACCTTCTCCCTGACCTGGGGGTTTAGGGGATGAGAGCAGGGCCTCTGTTCAGCTGGGATAGGCCCCAGAGTCTCAGACCATTACAGCCAGACACTCTCAGAGGGCATCTGAAGCAACATTCCCATTTTACAGATGATAAAACTGAGGCCCAGGAACATAAACAGCTTAGGTCATTTAGACACATTAGCCTGCCCAGAATACAACTCACGTCTACACTCCCTCGCACAATAAACAGTGAAAGGACCAAAGTGCTTACACTCAGCCAACTCTTGGATGGTGGTCACCATAAGAAAGGAGTCGTAGTGGTCCATGAAATCATGTAGGCCGGGCACATGTATCCTTAAGATCCCAGGAGTGAGGTCGAAATTCACTTTGAATATATGTTGAAGAATCCCTCTAGGAGGATTGGAGCTGCCACATTGCAGGCCACGTTTAGGCTGAGATAGGCAAGGGAGACCAGGAGAGAAGGCCCTATGCAGCAGCAGTTCAGGAAGCCCAACCTAAGCCCGGATCTTCCCCAGGCCCACAAGTCCGAGGGATGCTGGGAACCCCCAAGGCTGCCAATGCAGGTGAATGAGCAAAGGAAACAGCCATCCACAGAAGGGCTAAGATGGGACTCCAGGGTACTAAGTTGAGCTCAATAATTACTGACCAAAAAAAAATTACTGACAATGTGTTTGCTTTATAGGATATATAAGAAGCTGTAACACATGCGAAATCATGCTCGCTCTCTCTCCCTCTCCCACTCTATCTCCTTCTCTCTCTCTCCTCCCTTCTCTATTAATGCATAAGGGACACCCCACCCCAGCACTTGCAACTGAGCCCTGCAGCCCAGTGAGGCCCCACTAATGAGTAGTGCCCATTGGCTCCTGCTCTCTGGGGGCCTTTGTGAAGCCACCTTCCTTAGCTTTTAGTCTAAGGCTGCCTTAGACTTAGTCTAATGACATTGTGTACCTTGCATTTTTAAGCTTTTCCCGGACCCTGTCAACATGTGCAGGAAGTCTCTCTGAGAGCAACATGGATCAGACCAGCACTCAGCCTGCTTGTCACATGTGGTTTTGCTGAAGGTGACATGTTCTTTGAACACTGCTGAGTCTCACCGTATTCCCTCAGACCCTCCAGACTTGAGTGCTCAGCTGTGGCCTCAGGCTGATGCCCAGTGCCTGGAGGATTAAAAATCTTCTGATTCAGGGCTCTGCTTTTCCAATCCAACTGCTCTTCTTGAATTTTCATAATCATCTCTTCCTTCCATTCAGCTCAAAGTGGACCTTAGGCTTTCCAGGTGTTGACTGAATATTGGGCCCTGTCAGTCAGCCCTATGAGGCGACCCCTGTTACTTAAAGTCAGTAGGATAGGGTTTCAGGGTCTCCAAGGGGCTCCTGTTAGACCACCAAGCCCCTGTCTAACCTACTGAGTCCCCCTACCACCTCTAACTCTTCTTCAAAAGAATGGTGGTTAAACAAGAGCATGTGAGCAGAGCAGCCCCAAGCACCGGAGCAGGGACGTGTGGGAGCTCACAGAGGAATGAGGAGCTAGTCACAGATAAAGTCAGGTGACAGGAAGGGGATCCATGCGAGGACCCACTGGGGAGCCCCACGTAGTGGAGCAGGGCCAAACCAATATCATCAAATGAATTTCTATTTTTGCCTAATACGGTTGTATGAGTCAACTTAAATGTTGCTTACTTTCACTTTCTGCTCCCAAGGAAGAAGTGAAAGATAGCTGATCCTGGGATTGGGAATTTAGAGCTATCCCTTTACAAGAATTTTAGTGGGGAAAAACATCTGCTACAAAGGAGCAGTCTCTCTTCACTCCATTCCTATCACAGACGACCTATGATTCCGAAGAAAAGCGGAATAACAGAATCAAAAGGGAAATTGGAGACGATATTCAGTGAGCACCTTCATTTTACAGACGAGAAAACCGAGGCCTGCGAAGGTTAAACATTAAATAATTGTGCTTTAAATCACGCAGCCGGGCTGGTGTGATTTGATCTCGGGCTCCTAACACTCGGTCCACGCGTTTTCCTCACCTTTTACCCTACCAAGCAGGTTCCGTCCTGGCTGGCGGGTCTGTTTTAGGGGTGAAAGTCTCCCCCCCCCCCCCGAGCAGCTGTGGGGTAGGCCAGGGCTCGGGACTCGAACTCTTGGCGGAATCACCCGCGGGGCTGGTTAACACACAGGCCACTGGGCCCCCTGTGGGGTTCTTGAGTTGGGGTCCAGGTAGCACTCAGATTTGCTTTTCTAACAAGTTCCTAAGTGATGCTAACGTCCTGATGCAAAGACTTGTGTGAAGTAGCTCTGCAGTAGGCAGAAGAGCACCTGGCGAGCCTGCATACTTGGGTTCCGGTCCCAGCACCGGGACCCAAGCTGTCACCCGGACCGTGACGCCTAATGCCTTGGCGTCTCATCTCTGTGTGTAAGGCTGCTAACGAAAACCGCACAGCGGGGTTAAGGTTCGGAAGGGACGAGTCGGAGGTTAGGGAGCTGCTCGGATACTCCGTGAGCGCTGAGGCTCAGACACGGGACAGGCTGGCAGATGGCAGTGTGAGCCAGGAGTATCCATGGTGACAGAAGCCTTCTCTTAGCGCGACTCAAAAGCACCACGAAATGGTGTTTATTCACCCACAAATAATACCTGAGGAATTATTAGGGCCTGGCCCAGGGCAGGCGCTGGGTTTGCAAAGGTGCATGACACAAGTCGCTGCCCTGGAGGAGCAACTAGGAGGAAGCTGCAAATCCTACTTATTAACCAAATGGATGACGACCTAGGAAAGGAACCTGTGCCTTGCAGCAAGGAGAACCAACCGAGCTTGGAGAGACCACCAAGGATTTGAGGAAGCACCTAATTTTTAAGTAGGGTTTTGAAGGATGAACAGGAGTTCTTTAAGAAGTGGCTGAGGACGCGCCAGGCAGAGGAAACCGCGTAGGCCGAGAAGCCGCTGAGGCCTGAGACGGCCTCGCGTGTAGGGGAAATCGCAGGTGGCTCCGCGTGCCGCGAGCTCCCTGGTCTGGGACGAAAGCTGGCAAGGAAGGACGGAACAGAATTCTGCAGAAGCTGCGCGCATGTCCTGCTAAGGAGCTGGGCTTGGTTGTGAGTCTGGGGGGAAGACACTCAACGCCTCGCTGTAGGATCCCTCGGGGGGAAATCCCCAACGAGTCCCCCAAATGAAGAATGAGCCAAAGGCCTTCAGACAGCACCCCACCCCCGAGCCCGGGAACCGCCCTGCCGGGAAGCCCCGCCCACAGACGCCTCGGCAGCTGGGCGGCGGCCCTCGGGAGCCCGCTCCCTGGATCCCTGGAAGGCCGAGGCCGAGCCGGGCAGCCTCTTCCCTCTCCAGTCCCTCACACAGGCAGCCCTTTCTCTGGGGGCTTCCGCATTCCCTCCCCCGGGGGTGTGGCAGAACAAAGAGACTTCATCTCACCGGGAGAAGTGGGGGGGAGTGGGATGGGGGCGCTCGGGGGTGGAGGGTGATGTAATGCAGGAAAAGAGCAAGTGGAAACCCACACCTGGGAGCAGACCGGGCCTCCTGGCAGTGGGTAGTCCTGAGGCTGAAGGGGGCCGGCCCCAGGTGCCTCCGGACGCGCCCTGAGCCCACCCCGGACACCTGGCCCGCAGCCCCCACTGAAGGGCCAGGTCCCAGTGCTGGCGAAGCGGGTGCTGGGGCTCCCTCCTCCCACCAGCCAGGTCTCCGCCCCTGTTCCAGACTTCGACTTCGGTTTCCCAGCAGGTATCTAATGGGTGTGCAGAAAGCAGCGAACTTTCTCTTCCTGTGGTTGCGGAAGCAACTTGCTCTTCTGGGCGTAATCCCTTTTACTTGTAGGAAAGTATTTTACTAGATCAGTGGGTTGTGCAAGGATAAAAGAGGAACTTCCTCTTCTGGAAAGGAGACCATGCCCCGCAAGCAAGTGTGAGGGCCACACAGGCCCTGCAGGTCACCGTACCAGGCGGCTCCTGTGGGAGAGAACGCATCTCGGCAGGGTTAGGGCAGCTGTGTGGAAGGAAGCCCACTCTGGGGAACTCAGGCAGGGGCCTGTTTCCAAAGTGGACCCCTCGGGAACATGCGGGAGGGCGTCCCTGCCAGAATCACAATTGCCAGGAGTCCTCAGAAACACTGGGAGATGGACCCCACGGAAGGGCTGGACTTGGGCTGTTCCTGTTTGGTACCTAAGGGGACAGGGGACAGGCGGGTGGGCGCTGTACTCTGTTCTCTCTGACAAGTGACCTCGGGTGTCCTAGCCAATCCCAGAACCCACTGAGCTCCCTCTAAAAAGACCACAAAGTCAGGCAACGCTGTTGCAGCCACCCCAACTGTTGGGGATCAGCCATGATATGCATAGATTGGTGAGGGCCTCAAGAACAGAGAAGTATGACCTCCTGGCTGTGTGGAAAGCCATGAACATAGCACTCCTGAGACAAGATAGCTCCTCCTGAGGGCAGTAAAGTACACAGACCTCCTGGTATGGGAAAGGACCTTTTCCCCTGGAGACGCTAAACTTGGTCCCTATCTTGCTGTTCTAATCTTACTACAGTTGCCAACCCTGAAACAGCATACTGCTCTCTCCCCAGTGCTCCTCGATGAATAATAAAAGTGGGCTCGCGGAGGAGTTTGTAGAAGCCTGTCCACTAGAGACAGCTTCCCCTCGGTCCCCTGTTGAAAGTGTATACTGGGCCTGTCTCTTTCTTTTATTCCCCAGCGTTCTCACTGCAGGTATTTGGGAGTCTGAAGCGCTTCCAATGCCCAGCTGGGATCCCCTGCAACAGCCCACCTGCAGGAAGACCTCCCACCCTGTCTCCCGCTGTTGCTCAGGGGATGTGCGCAACATCAGCACCATCTCTTCAGCTCTCAGTGCTGCCCTTGCAGTTCTTCCTAAATACTTCGGTTTGGAAAGGTAATTACTTTCTCTTGAAGAGTTGTTATAGGAAACTGGTTCTCCCTGGAATAAAAAATGAATCTCCTGCCAGGCTTAGGGAGCTGGGTTCCACATAGGAACCAAGGGAAAGAAGACACGGTCTTTTGAGGATTAAAGCACTTTTGTCTCATATTAATATTAAAATTACATGAATGCTATTTACATAACAATATAAACATGAATGTTTTCTATATACTGTTATTTATTTATTTATTTATTTGGTACCAGGGATCGAACTTGGGTCCTTGCACTTTCGAGGCAGGCTGCGGAACCACTGAGCTAAATCCCCAGCCCTCTATATACTGTTTTATAATATAAATATCTCTTCTCTCTTTTTTTTTTTTGGAGACAGGGTTTTGCTATGTAGTTCAGGCAGGCCTTGAACTCACTATGTAGGCCAGGCTGGCTCTGCAATCCTCCTGCTTCAGCCTCCTGAGTGCTGGGCTTACAGGCATGTGTGACCACACCTGGCTATAAATATCTTTAAAATAGTCATTTATAATATTAACATCAGGCTGAGGATTTAGTTCAGCAGTAGAGCGCTTGCCTACATATAGGGGGTGCTGGGTTAATGCCCAGCACTACCAAAAAAACCACAACAAATTACTATATAACATCAACATCTACTTTACTATAAATATAATAAACCACTTCATACAAAATAGAGATAATATGTAAATGTGAACGTACACAAATGTCACCAATTATCACATCACCCCAAATCAATTGATGTCAACATGTAGGACACTTCCTTCAAATCTTGGGTTTGTTTGTTTTGGGGGGGGGGGTTTGGTGCCCATGATCGAACTCGGGTCCTTGAGCTTGCGAGGCAGGCGCCGGAACCACTGAGCTAAATCCTCGGCCCCCTTCAAATCTTACTGTATATAAACGAGGAAGCCAACAAACAAAGATACCGAACATCCGCACGTACTTATTTCAGTCCGAGGCGCGAGAACACACTTTTCCAGCAGTTCTTGCTAACGTCCCAGGCAGCTCCCTGTGGCCCAGCTTGCGTCATGCGCCCATCTCTGAGTGAGGCTCCCTGACGAACTGTCCGGCATGGGTGTTAACCGATCCCACTCAAATCCTGGGGCCTGAGAGCTGGGTGCAGAGAAGTGGCTCCTCACAGGATCCACGTGCAGATGCCCAGGGAAGCGGGTCTTGCTGGGCAGGAAGAATTCACATGTCCACTGTGGGATGTCACTAGGAGTGGCCTGCATCGGATTATTCACTGTTTGCCCACCATATTCTCTGGGCAAAATGCCTTACCCTCCTGCTACTGTGTGACTATGAATTGCGTCCCCCAAAGGCCCATATGTTAAAGACCTAGTCCTCCAGGTGGCGCTATGGGGGGGCACTGTGTATTTAGGAAGCCCTTAGGTCATAGCGGGTACACCCTCAAAAGCGCTTATGGGCCCTGCCAGTCCCTCTTTCTCTGCTCCCTGGCTTAAAATGTAAGCAGTCTGCTTTGCCATGCATCACTGCCATAACGAGCCCCCCTTCCAGATCCCCAGACCCATGGAACTACCGACTTGGACTTGAGCCTTCAGAGCTGTCAGCCAACACCTGCTTCTCTGCTGGACAGAGCCCATAATAAAGGTCTCCTCTGTGAATCCTCCCTTGTATTCACCAGGCAGCACCAAGCGCCCTCTTCTTAGCGCCACTCATGGTGGGTGGGCACCATGTGGACACGAGTCTTTCCCTTTGCTTTAGCACCCAGCACCACAGCTGGTGCAAAGGAGACTCATTGTCTATCCCTGTGGGTAAATCCTCCTTTTTCAGAGAGCTCACGGTGTACCTTCCCTACTCATGTAGCCCTGAACTTGCGCATGGTCTGTTTCCATTGATAAATTGTTGTTTGCAATTCAGAATGAGTTTCTCCAAACCAAAGTTGCAGATGAGAAGCAAGTTCTAGAACCTACAAAAAAAAAAAAATTTAAACCCTAAAATCATTTAAATGATGTACATGTATACTTTTTTGAGTTGTTATTCTTAATGAGTAAATGAGACCAGGCATGTGGAAGCTTTTTTTTTTTTTTTTTGTGGTACCAGGGATCGAACTCGGGTCCTTGCACTTGCGAGACAGGCAGTAGAACCACTGAGCTAAATGCCTGGCCCACGTGGAAGCTTTTTGCAAGTGTAAGTTACTGCCATCAACTACATTATCACGGCCCTTTCTCCATTGTCCTCCCTCCTCTCCTCTGCTTGTTTCATCTGTTTTTCTGCCCCCTTTCCAAGTCCCCATCACAGACAGGCCATGTGCTAATTGGGCAGCACCCTTGGGTGGTGAGGGCGTGGCAATGTAACAACACACGCTTGAAGGGACACTTCTGTCTCACTATGTGTGGCCAAAGTGGCTTCAGAGAATGTCGTCCATAGTGAGGAAGAACTCGAAGAACACTCTCCTCTCTCCTACCAAAGGCCAACACTTCCTGGCCACCCATTTGGGCAAAGGTTCTTGGTAAAATAGGAATAAATCACTCAGGGAGTACCGGGAATGGGTGCGTTTCTTGTTAGTGGGCCTCAGAAAAGCATTTTAACTGGAAAGAGGTAACACATAGTTTGTGCGTCTTTATCACCTTTCCTTCTAAAGATGCCACAGCAACTTTTTTAAGGTTAGGCCCACAGGTATACAGAGAATGGAAGGAGGAGGACACCAGTGGACAAGAGAGGCCACCAAATGTGTGGATGGCTGGAAGTGGGTGCAGGAGGTGTGGGCCTCTGCCAGGCCTTTTCCCTTAGCCCCTTCCCAGGAAGGGACTCTCAGATATATGGCCCCCTATTGGAGGGCTCTTGGCTGGAAAAAAAAATTGCTAACACCAGAGAAAAGTCCCCTAAGTTTTGACTTTTTTTTTTTTGTACCAGGGATCGAACTCGGGTCCTTGCGCTTGCGAGGCAGGCGATAGAACCACTGGGCTAAATCTCCAGCCCAAGTTTTGACTTTTTATAGTCACCCAGTAAAATACCCTGAGTGCAAGGCCCGCCGATCAGATACTCACATCCACATCCTGAGCTGCCAGGCAGTTTGATACCTGCATGTTCTGCACAATTGGATGGGCAGCCCAGAATCACCAGAAATTTGTGAAAAGTAACGAGAGAGAAAAAATAGGTGGAATAGAAGAAAGGGGAAGGAAGAAGAGGAGGGGAAGAGGAAGAGGAGAAAGAACTCAAAGGAAACAGATGATGGAAAACATTTCTGGGCCAGGGATTTAGCTCATGGTTCTGCCGCCTGCCTCACAAGCGCAAGGTCCTGAGTTTGATCTATGGTACCAAAAAAAAAAAAAAAAAGGTTAGAAAAAAGAATAACCAGAGGATGAGAGAGAGGTCTGAAAAATTTTAAATGTGGTAGCTAAAACAAAAGACTCGACAAAAAAAAAAAAGACTTGACAAAAGAGTAGGAAAATAAAGTTTAGAAATCTACCAGAAAATAGAATTTTAAAAAACTAGGAGAGAAAAGTGTTAGAAGTCAAGGGATTCCAACATCTATATTAAGCATCAGAAACCAGAGAAAACAAAGGATAGAAGATTCAGTACATATCCAAAAAAGTAAGAAAAATTTTCAGCAGTGAAATTAAAACCACCCCCTTCTAGGGGTCAAGATGTAGCTCAGTGGTGGAGTCCTTGTCTGGCAGGCTCGAGGCCCTGGGTTTGATCCCCAACACTGCAAGAAACAAAGTACCCACCGGACATCCAATAGGATGGAGAGAAATACCGTGGTATATTTTGAAGTTCAGAATGCCAGGATAATGGGAAGAACCCGTGTAGCATCTGACATCTTGACTGTAGTGCACAATGCTCAGGAGAGTAGCATTGGGCACCCAAAGTTCTGAGTGAAAATTACTTCTACCCTGGGATCCTATACTTAGCCAGATAAAGGGTAAGCATGGAATAAAGATCTTCTCAGAGGTGTGAGAACTAAAAAATTTACCTCCCACACACCTTTTCTTCGGAAGATAGTAAAAGATATGATTCAGTGAGATGAAAGCCAAGGCCAAGAAGAAAGGTGCTCCAGAAAACAGCGGAGCATCCGAGGGGAACCCTGGTGAGATTCCCTGAGATGACTCTCGAGCCCCAGGCGGCAAGTAACCCACCCAGATCGGATCAGGGGACAGTGGTGCAGAGGGGAGGGGCTCCAATTCTGTACTGCCTATGGGGGGTTGTGAGACATCCCTGAATACATTTGGACACAGGGGAAATCTTTCTAGATATACAACATCGAGACTTTGGAAAATATTACCAATAGTTATTTAAAAAGCTAAGCGAAAGAAAAACGACAGCAATTGTTTTTTTGGTACCAGGGATCAAACTCGGGTCCTTGCACTTGCGCACCAGGCGACGAAACCACTGAGCTAAATCCCCAGCCCAACGATGGCAATTGTTAACTGCAGGAAAAACGAAAAAGTTGGGGAATGTAATTATACAATACCATTGTTCAGCCATAGCCTTAAAGTTACAAAATCAGGATACTGTAAACACTGACTATTCATACCACACTTATGTGGGAATGTGAAGGAGAACAAAGAGTAAGAAAACAAAAACCTCAGTTATCACTCGGGAAATCAATAGACAGTATCTGCCAACCTCATGTGTTCAAAGCAAGGCCAAGCCAAAAGCCTGACCAATTCAACCCGCAAAGATACAAGGAGCTACTTTTAGGTTTTGACAGTTTATTACTGACACAGACAGCAGAAGTGTTAGCCCAGTGTGCCCTCTCTGGGATCCTTTTCCACACACCAAAAACAAAGGGAGCCAGTGATTGAAACATGGGCTGCAGGGTTTCTACTGCTGAGGAGCCAGTTTTAGACTATAGCTAAGCAGTTTTATGTTCTTCAGCTCTATTCTGAGATACAGGGTGTTGATGAGTTGAAAAATCAAAATGAAGTCTCCTAGGTCAGAGCCAGAAAGATAAGAGAGATGGGATTTTTTTTTTAAGTGTCAAGGTTCCTATAACGGGAATTCCTGGGGAATGTGGAAAGCATGACAAAAAGTTATTTTTTTTCAAAGAGATAATGGTTGAGAATTCTCCAGAAATGAGGAAATATAAAAATATATGGCAAAACTAGAGAACATTAAGAAAAACTTTAAAATCCTTGGATTTTTTTTCTTGTTTTATTTATTTATTTTTAAAGTAAATTTTATTGTATCCCTTCCCCCCCTCAAGCTCCTTCCTCTCCCTGTGTACAAAATCTGTTTCCATTTTTTCCTTCTATTTTTACTCGTCCCTTCCTTCTAACTTTAAAATTCTTAAAGCTAAGAAAGAAAAGAAACCTGATTACTAAAGTAAAGAGAGGGTAGGGCAGAAAGCCCCACACCTCCTCAGAAGCCAGAAGCAGTAGGAAACTGTCTCATTATAGCCTGCCAGGGGGACATAGAGATGGGTAGAAAATGGTTTCTTAGCATCTGGGAGATCACAACACTTTCTATCAAGACTCATAATAGCTGGGGTTCAATTCTTTGCCTTTGTAAGCCATTTGAATCTATGCAAGGTCACCAGGCACTGTGGCAGAGCTGTGCCCAGTGGTATGGAGAAATAGTGTAAATCTAGTACTTAAAAACAAGCCGGGGCTGGGGATTTAGCTCAGTGATTCCGCCACCTGCCTCGCAAGCGCAAGGATCTGAGTTTGATCCCCAGGACCAACAAAACAAAACAAGCAGGGCTGAGGGCACAGCTGAGTGGCAGGGCACTTTACTTATCTAACATGCAAACCCTGTGTTCCGTCCCCAGCACCTAAGACAAAATAAAACAACCCAGAAATTATCAGAAGAAAACAGCTAAGAGAGTTGAAATATGTCTATGGGGAGAGAGACTGCAAGTTAGCAAGGAAGGAGTGGGGAACACTTGGATTCATTGTGTATCTGACTGTTCCGAGTAATGGTGCAATGCTCATCACTCTTCGTGCTTAATTATCTCAACTTTGGCCAATAGGAGCCTCTTCAAGTTGGCAACTTAGGATTTTTATAAAATCCTAATAGTCTTTGGTAACTTCCTTCCATGTAGTTTGACAAACTTTTCAAATTTATATCCTCTATCACACAGGATAGGATAATATAGAAGAACCAGGAAAGCCAGACATGGTACATGCCTGTAATCCCAGCACTCTGAGAGGCTGAAAAGCACTGGAAGTTCAAGCCCAAGCTGGGCCACTTTGTGACTGAGACTCTTAGGAAACAGAGAGTGAGGGAGAGGGAAAGGGAGAGGGAGAGGAGACAGAGGAGGAGAGGGAGGGAGGGAAAACGGGAGGGAAGGTAAAAGGAGGAAGAGAAGAAGGAAGGAAGGAAGGAAGGAAGGAAGGAAGGAAGGAAGGAAGGAAGGAAGGAAGGAAAGCTGGTAATATATCTCTCTGAAAAGGCTCTGGGTTCAGTCCCCAGTTGTGGGGGAGGCATGGAAAAATTTTCTGAAGGAACTCTGGTCCTTTAATGGACATGATATTTAGAAACCATAGTACAGGGACTGAGGGTGCTCATGTTTGAGGGTTGATGATTGTTTCTAGGGCTTCTCAGTTGACTTTTCTAGGAAATGGATTATTTTAAATTGATCATAAATCTGCACTTATACTTCCTATTTTTAGGATTTTTGCTTAACTTTTTTGATTTTTGTATCTCTTTTATCCCAAAAATCCTGGATCCTAATGATGTTGACATAATTGCTTATTTGCCTTATCCACTCTGTATAGAATAGTTTCAGAATTATAATAATATCAACATTACCAAAAATATAATTATCAAAAGTAGATTATTTTTTCAGGATTTCTTATTGTTTCCATACCATATATCCCTCAATAGTCAAATTATTACTGTTAAATTATTATGTGTAAGAGCCTCTTAAAATAGGGGCTGGGCTTGGTGGCACCCACCTGTAATCCTGGCACTGGGAAGGCTGAGGCAGTGAGTTCAAGTTCACTGTGAGTTCAAGGCCAGCCCGGGCTACATAATGAGATCAAGGCCAGCTTCTTACAATAATTCCCTGAGTTTTGTACCAATTTGATACATAGTTATTAAATCTGTCTCTTTTAACTAATTGACCTTTCCATTTTAACTTTGTTTTTAATTATGTGTACTATTTCCATAGCTCTAAAATCAAATCTGTTAAATCATGTATCCAGAACAGTCTGACTTATATATAGGGAACCCCTCTGCCCAGTCTCTCCCACACCCAGAGGAAACTTTAAAATTTCTTTAAATTTAACTTAATGTTTATGTGGATTTTTCTTTTTTCTTCTTATCCCTCTCCAACTTTGAAGCATAACTAACAAAAATTGCATACATTTGTGATGCCAGTATACTATGTGATGATCTATTGTACACACACATACACATCGTGAAATGACCACCACAATCAAGTTAATCAACACCTCTATCACCTCATAAGGTTACTATTGTTTTTGGATGGTAAGAATGCTTAAGATTTACACTCTTAACAAATTTCAGGTATACAAAATGCAAGGGTTTTTTGTTTGTTTGTTTGGGTTTGGTTTTTGGTTTTTTCCACACAGGGTCTTGGTATGTAGCTCGGGCTGGCCTTGAACTCATGGTGAGCCACCTGGCTCAGCCTCTGCAGTGTAAGAATTACAGGTACATGCCACCAAAACCAACCCAAATGCAGTATTATTAACTATAGACACCATGAAGTATATGAAATCTCTATAACTTATTCCCTCTATAACTAAAAGCTTGTATCTAACCAACATCATCCTGTTTTCCCCACCTTGTCATTTATTTACTTTTGATGTTATTATTATGTTAAAATAATGTTATTAGTATGTATTATTTGATATTATTATGTATTGCTTGATGTTACTATGTATTATTATGTACTAAAACACACAAATATTTCTCTTTTACTTAAACAGTAGCATATGATACATGTTTTCTCAACCATGGTTTTTCATCTTAACATGAGCTGGAAATCCTTCTATATCAGCATATAGGGATGTCCCTCCTCCTTCTTAACTGTATACTACCCCACTGGAGAGATATACTGTGATTGATAATCAGTCTCCTACTTTTTGGGCAAAATAAAACAGAATTTAAGGTGAAAAGCATTATGAGAGTCAAAGAGTGAATTTGCATGCAAGCAACAATTCACCAAGAAGATATAACTGGGTACTTAACAACACAGCCTTGAAATATATAAAGCAAAATCCAATAGAGTTACAGAGAGAAAGGGCTGCTGGCCTCAGGCCTTTTCTTTCTCCCTCTAGACTGAGTTCCTGAAAAGCCCAGGCTATGGGACCTTTTTACCACTGTTCCCCTGTTCCGAGCCCATGCCTGACATACAGAGGTGGAGGTAGGTAGAGGTCGAAATGATGTAACCTTTCTATTACAGGGAAAGAACAGAGAGCAGTCAGGCCAAGTGCAGGAAGACTCCGTGAACCCCTCCCTTAGTCGGGCGCTGGCCTCAAGGTCTCGTGAACCGATCATGACCATCAGAAACAAACCCAACTGACCACGGCCCTCACGTGTGAAAATGCAGCTCCTCTTTGGGGTTTATGAGAGAAGCTCTGTTCGTGGGGTGTGCTTGGAGCTCTTCATCCAGGGCGTCAGTCAGAGCCGGCTGGTGGCCGAGCCCGTAGGGCGGAGGGGCGGAGGCGTCCACCCAGCAGCTCCACACTCGGCTGTGCCCAGGTGAGCTGGAGAGGGCCCTGCCCAGGGACAGCCAGCTCTGTGGACGGAAAGCTGGGCAGGGGGAGGAAGGAGAGGCTGGGGGAGGGGAGAGTGCAGAAGGGCAGGAGATAAGAGAGGAGGCTAAATTAATTTTGGAAACCATTAAATCTTTGAAAAGCGAGTGTGTTTTCAGCAGGGACAGTGAATCACTGTGATTTGCAGAAACAGGCACAAAGCAATTAGCCATCTGGACGCGGTGGCTTCCAGCCCCCACCCCAGCGGAAACTTCAAGCCAGCGGAAGGCCGGTCGTTACCCGGCCCAGGCCCAGCACTGCAGACTCCACAGATGACTGCTCCTCCAGCCCACTGCGCGGCCAGAGGCTTGGGACAGAGGGGAACTTGGCAACAGACACAGAAAAATGGGCAGGAAAAGCAACACCAGCTACAGGGAGCCAGCAGCATTTCCTTCTTCCTTGGAGCTTCCCTTAATCCATCATGACTGAGTGAGCAGTTCACTCATTCGATAAGCGTTTCTTAATCACCTGCTATCTCCCAGGCCTCGTGCTAATACATAAATTATGCCATTTAGTCCTGTGACCTACATATGAGGAGGTCCACCCACAGTGCAACTCCAAGGAGACCCATCGATGCTATGGTATCGGATGTGAAGAGTATTCCCTGGAGTAATAAAGCAGAACTGTCCCCCCCAAAAGAGAGTGTCTCCACTTTTATAAAAATATCAATGAAAAAATAAAAGCCGAAGTGGAGGTAAATTTGTCCAAGATAAGCGGCAGGCCTGAGAACGGAGCTCTGAGTTCTGGGGCCCCTCTTGTACGATCCAGGTTTACAAATTTCTCTCTATCTGGCCCAGCAGCTGTGACAGGAAAGGGATGGATACACTGTAGCGTGCCGTAGACAGCCGAAGTATCAGAAAGCAATTACCCCAGCTTCCTCCAACTGCTGTGATCCTGAGGCGCCGCCCCTCTACCCATTTCTAGGAACTGCTGGGGAGTCTCCAACTGACCCACCCAGGATAAGGGTCAGCAAGGGAGGAGGATCCAGGAAGCCAGGGGGGACTGGGCTGGGTTTTCTGGCATCTACAGACAACAGTTCTTGGCGCTGGGCTCCATCCTTTTCCACTGTGTGGCGCACACCTCTTCCGGTGAAGAGAAGGAAACCAGGAAGGGAGGACATCACCCGGATGGACCTGAGCTCGGCTCCCCTCAGCCCCGTGTCCTCTCACCTGCCTGAGCTCCCTGTGAGCCCCTCCCACCCCTTCCTCTCCAGGCTTCCGTAAAGTGTCTGTCCACAGCCTTGGCCAGGAGCCATGTATTCCAGCACAGGACTTTGTGGTGGCCTATTTCTGCAGTCATGGTGAACCTTTTAGAGGCCGCGTGCCCAAACTACAACCCCAGATCCACTTATTTATTGCAAAGTGCCAACAGTGAAGTTAAAATCTGAGCACTGAAGTTTTACATTAGAAAAAGCAACTGTTATCGGATGCTGGACTGCTGGGGTGACTTGGCTGGCATGCCGTGTGCCGAGAGGGTTCTGCGTGCCCGCTTCAGCACGTGTGCCACAGGTTCGACACCACTGGCCTAGAAGGCCAAGGGATTTCATTTGCTGTCTGAGTTTCCAGCCCATCTAACTGCTGCCAGGAACGCCAGGTCTCCCACAAGGAAAGTAGAGAGGGGACACAGAGTTGGGCCATGGAGACAGATGGCGTGGGGAGCTCCCTGCTCTCCCTGTGAGCTTGGGAGGTGTTACCCTCTCTCCCTTCCTGTGACTGCAGAGAATGAGGCTGAGGTTTGCTGCCTCCAGGGGGCGCTGAGGACTGAATAGGCTCACAGGTAGGTGCCCTTGAACCAGTGCACAGTTTAAATGATAGGAGGGTTGGACTCTGTGGCCAGGCAGGGTTGAGGAAGTGGGAAATGCAAGCTCAGGGTGGCCGGGTCCACCAGAAGTCTAGATTTTTATGTAAACTTTTCCAATTTTCGAAAGCTTGTGGGAACAGATCAAAACGTCTGCCAGAGGTCTGCTGAGGTCGGGCGCGAACTCCGATCCCCATGACGCCCCCAGTCCCGGGGCGCACGCAATCCTTTCCTTTGTCCGGTTTTCGCCTTGCTGGGGTCCCTGTCACCCTCCTTCAAAGGCAGCCGCGGTCACCTCGGCTCTGGGCAGAGCAGGCTGGGAGCAGGACTTCCCCCCGGGAGCCCCTCCAGGCCCTGTCCCCACAAAGCCCAGGCCCAGGAAGGACCCGGGGAGCAGGGAGCGCCGCGGCCCAGACTGGCGGGCTCTTGGGGACCGCGCTCGGGAAGCTCCGCGCCTGTGAGGCTTGGGCTGGGAGCCCAGCCCGCCTGGCTCTCGCTCCTGTGCCGGGCTGGCATCGGCTCGGCGGCCACTCGGGCGTCCGCGGAGGGCTCCTGCCCCGGCTTCGCGAACCTCGACGCCCCTCGGGGGACCTTTCCCAGACCTCAGGCGGCCCCCACCGCACAGTCAGAAAGGCAGGCTGGAGAGGAGCAGCCGCTAGAAACAGCGCGTGATCGGCGTCAGGGATGGGGCCTAGGTTGCAAATAATTGGCAAAATTTGAGTATGAAATGTATAACAGTATCAGTGCATCAGTGTTAAACTTCCTGAAGTTGATCATTAAATATGGTTATGAAAAAGAACGTCCTTAGTTTTTCTCCCAGGTATTTAAATGTAAAGGGCACGTCTGCAACTTCTGCTCAAAATGGTTCCAAAGTACTAACAATGATTCGTACATTGTAACTCCTCAAATGACTAAGCGTTCAGAGAGTGTGTGACCCATTCCTTAGGTAAACACCCAAGAGAAATGAAAACATTTGTCCACACAGAAAAGCATACACAAATGTTTAGAGCTCTCTAATCCCAGCTTTCTGGGAGCTGAGCCCGGAGAATCACAAGTTCTAGGCAATTTAGTGACTTAGTAAGACCCTATCTCAAAAGCAAAATGAAACAAAAAGGGGTGGGGATGTAGCTCAATGTCAAGGCCCTTGGTTCAAACCCCCCCCCCCCCCAGTACAGAAAGACAGACAGACAGAAAGAAAGGCTGGTTAGTTCTTAGCAACAGTATTCAGAACAGCCCAATGTAGAACCAACACAAATGTCCCTACTGCTGAACAGATCATTAAAATGTGACATGTTCATATATTGGACTGTTTTTCAGCTATAAAAAAAGAATAAACCAGGTATGGTAGCACATGCCTATAATCCCAGCACTTGAGAGGCTGAGGCAGGAGTGTCTTGAGTCCAAGGCCAGCCTAGGCTACATAGCAAATCATACCCTGTCTCAAAACAAAACAAAAAAGATAATGAAAAAAATGCAGGCTACAATATGGATGACTCCTGAGAACATCATACTAAGTAAAAAAAAAAAAAAAAAAGTCACAAAAAATAGCCCATGATTCCATTTATGTGCAATTTCCAGAACATGCAAAACTGCAGAGACTGAAAGTAGATGAGTGGTGGTGATACCTAAGGGTACAGAATTTCTTTTCTGAAAGTGATGAAACTGTTGTAAAATTGACTGAGGTGATGGGTGCAGTATCTGTGAATATACTAAAAGCCACTGGATTGTACACTGTACTGGGAGGATTCTGTGGTATGTGATCTATACCTCTCTAACTCATCCATACACACATAGCAACAGAGAAAGAGAGTGGCAAAGCACATGAGTGGACTATTAATGACTGTTTAACCTGGAAGAAGGCTATTTGGAAACTCATTATACTGTTGTATCTGTCCTGAGTTTGAAATTATTTCAAAATTTAAAAGTTGATGCCAGGGATTTAACTCAATGGTTACGCCGCCTGCCTCATAAGCCCAAGGACCCGAGTTCGATCCCCAGTTACAAAAAAAAAAATTAAAAGTTGATTTTTAAAAAGAGAGAAACTGTCAAGTATGGTGTTGCAGGCCTGTAATCCCAGCTATTTGGGAAGCTGAGACAGGAGGATTGCAAGTTTGAGGCCAGCCTAGGGTACATAAAGAGAACCTACCTCAAAATTAAGAAAATAAAGAATAAAAGGGTTAGGGGTATAGCTCAGTTGTAGAGTGGCACTGGGTTTAATTCTCAGGAGAGAGAGAGAGAGAGAGAGAGAGAGACCTATCCATCTTCCCTCTAGAGGCAGGCATGAAGAGGTTGTGGTGCCAGCTCTGCAGTCTGACAGGAGGCCAGGACTTGACCTTGCTGTTTGCCAATTGGGTCATCCTGATCTCTCTGGGCCTTGGTTTCCTCATCTGTAAAATGGCAATGATATCAATAGTATTTTCCTAAGAGAATTTTTGTGAGGATGATAGATTGTACATATCAAGCTCTTAATCCTTTTATGTGTTGTCAGTAAATGTTAGCTGTGATTCATTCAAAATCAATTTTAAGGTAATGCATTGTTTCTTATTACAAAACTAATTCAGGGCATTTGTTATGGAAAACTTTGGAAAATGCAGCTATGCAAGCAAAAGAGTAAAAATCACCAGTGCCCTCTACGTTCTGTGGCCATCAGTGCCAGAGTCTGGAGTGTGCATCCCTCTGGGCTGTGATACAGTGACAGTCACATTATTGTGCATGCTTTGTAACATGCTTTGCTTACTGTACATTACGGACATCTCTGAGTATTCTCTCCATAGCAGGTGCTGGGCTTAGTGCTGAGGTCTCTGATATGAGCAAGACGGGCACCCAGCCCTTGAGAGGGAGTGAGTCCCAGAGGTGAGACTTACTAGCCACTACTTTGAGGGGACAATTGGATGAAAGCCACTGTGTGTGTGTGTGTGTGTGTGTGTGTGTGTCCTGCTCAGCCTAGACAAGCTGGGGGTTTGCAGAGGTTCTTGATGGCTAAAGAGACATTTCAGACAGAGGAATGGGAAAGTATCATCTGGCCAGGGGGAGCAACCTGCAGACAAGCTCGGGCACGGGGCCGGTTTCCATGGGTGGATCTTGGAAGGAGAGGAGGCGGCAGATTAAGAGACCTTAGTGGCATAGCAGTGTTTCTGGAACACAGCACGGCCTTCAAGGGTTTAGCACTGACCTCCAAGCTTCTAACTTCCGCTCTTAGAGATAGGGAGTTTTTTTGGTTTTTTGTACCAGGGATTGAACTCAGGACCTTGCGCTTGCGTGGCAGGTGCGGTGCCACTGAGCTAAATCCCTGGCCCTTAGAGCTAGGTTTTTAAGAGTCCCAGACTTTGGAGCCAGATTGGCTGAGTTCAAAGCCTCCAGCTGTGTGATCTCGGGCAATTCCTTAACTTCTCTGAACCGTGATTTTTCATGTGGACAGTGGAAAAATAACAGCCAATCCCTCTAGGTTGTTGGGAAGATTAAATGCATTTACAGCCACGTGAGATGCTCAGAGCAAAGAACATCTGACACACAGCAGAAATTAAGTACACCTTTTCACCTACTGTCACCTAAGTCCTCTTTTGCAGCAACTTAATCTTTAGTAACTTTAACCCGAGAAAGAGCAGCACAGAGCAGCGTGGGATGTGCAGGGCCCTGTTTGCCAGCGCTGGAACAGGGAGCTCCCAGCAGCCAAACACTGAGCTTTAGGAGAGGTCCAGAAGCAACCTTACTGCCAACCACTTCCGGGGCCTGAATGACATCTGTCCCTGCCCATCAGGAAAGCGTCCCCAGGGCTGGATCAGGCTGCACAGCTGCCTCCTCTCTCAGGAGAAAGCTGTGATGGGAATCCTTTTCTTTCGGGAGGAAATGGGCAGGGAATGACATTTGTGTTCCCACCAGTGTGCAAATCACCCAATGAGGCAAATGATTGCACAGGAAAACACATCCTGCTCCCTCCAGAACATCCCCCCCGCCCCATGTCTGGGACCGGTCTGAGTGGTGAGGTCAGAGCCGCTGTTCAGGGAGCCCTACTCTGGAGAAGGGGGGCTGCAGGTGTGGCAGCCCCAGGCGTGGCAGCTGGAAGGGAACTGCCCTGCACACAATCTTCTCCCAGCTTCTCTCTGGCCAATGACGGAGCCAGTTCTGGGCTCTGGGGCTTGCTCAGCCCCTGAGAAAGAGGGGGACCCCGGACAAGTCCTTTCCTCCCTGGGTGTGAGCGTCCTGATATATCAATCTAATCACGTGTTTAGAACTTGGGACACACACCCTTAAGTCACAAATGGGTTCAGGGCCTTGCCGCTGCCCCTCAGTTGTAGGAAAAATTCTGTGTGTCTTTTTTTGGGAAGCTGTGTGACATTGGGTGGCATCAGTCCCCAGAGGGAGCTACTGACCCAGGCAAGTGTTGAGGTGACTTCTGCCATCCCTTGCGCTGGGAGCTGGGTAGATGGAAGCTTCTCAGGGACAAAGCAAATCTTTTAGGGGAGGGGTGTTTGGTTTTTTTGAGACTGGGTCTTGCTAAATTGCCCAGACTGGCCTCAAACCCACAGTCCTCTGGCCTTAGTCTCTGCAGTGCTGGGATTACAGGTGTGCACCACCACATCGGGCTAAGATCCATTTTATAATACCTGGCACACTGCAGATGCTCAGCAAATATTTGTTAGGTAAGTAAATATGTGTTGCATAAGTCAACGACACTCACCAAATGCTGGATGAGGAGCACTGGAAGAGGGAGGTGGATGCTGATCAGGATCTCAGTGGGAATGAAACCAGTCACCGGGCTGGGGAGGGGTCAGGTGGTGGGGAGTCTGGGGAGGTGCAGCCTGAGAACGCTTCCTGGAATCTGCTCAGTGCAGGGGCTGCAGCTCAAGGTTCTGCTCTGTGCTGGCCACACAGGCCTCTGGCTCCCCTGGGTCCCCTATGGGAAACTCGGCAAGCCAAACCCAGCCCAAGCTTCAGCAGCTAAATTGGGTTGGTTGTAGCAATTAAAATTCTCAGGCCAGGGATTTAGCTCCATGGTGCCGCTGCCTGCCTCACAAGCACAAGGACCAGAGTTTGATCCCCGGTACCCACCCACCCCCAATTCTCAAGTTTCTGTAGCCGGATGTGGTGGTGCACGCCTGTAGTGTCAGTACTCAGGAGGCTGAGGCAGGAGGACTGCCACAAGTTCAAGGCCAGCCTGGAATACATAGGGAGATCCTGTCTTAAAAAACAAAACAAAAATTCTCAAATTCCCCCAACCAGAAAACCCATCAAACCCGAAGAATGTGGCCTGGGCTCTGTTGGGCACTGGGGCTAGTGCGGGAGTGGAGATAAAATCGGGGAATTGAGCCCTGGGGTGTAGCTGAGTGGAGCACTGGAGCTGGTGGGGGTGGCTCCCTCCTCGCTGGCCTGGTGCTGGCATGAGAGGTGCTGGGGAAGCAGCACCCAGAGGGCAAGTGAGCCTGAGTGTGTGTGTCCCGCGTCCACTCCCTACCCGGGCAGTCCATCCCTGCTGTCCTCACGGGGAACTTATAAGAGCTGACACCTTCCCCTTTAGGACTCGAGCTAATTAGAGTTGCATTTCTGTTACTTTCAGCCAAAAGACAACTGATTTAAATGACCATTATTTCTATCACCCTTGCCCAGAGTTCACACTGATTCTCACTGTTCTCTCCTCTCCTGGTTCACACACCCCTCACCCCATGCACCATATTCAGGGGGCTCAGAGCAGCCCTGAGGTCCTTCTCTGTGAGGGAGGGAAGGGCAGAGCAGGGAATGAAGCCC